ATATCAGAATATGACCAAAAAAATTAAAGTGAGGTCCATTTCACAAAATTTAATGTCCTTATCTAATTATTTTATTAATGTAGACAAGAATAAATACTATGTAAAGAAGTAGATCAAAGTTAATCTTGAAAAATCAGGCAAATGTCATAGTAACTACCTGCTTAGCATCATCCCTAAACTTCTCTTTTCCAACTGCCATTCCGACCAAACTGATGCACTCCATGGATTTGGCACGAAGCATTCGTTTAGTCTTATCAGTAGCATTAACTAAGATAGCTTTCAGGTATGGCATGACAGCATCATAATATTTTTGGAAGTATTCCTACAAAAACCATTATACCGTATCATCATCTATCAGAGAACACTTTAGCATGACATATATTAAAAATATACCTGAGATGAATCAGCAACTGAAGCCAAAGCAGTCAAGGCCCCTTCTTGCACCATTTGCTTCCCATTCTGGAAGAAAATGAATATTACGTTAAGGAAGTAGGTAGTTAGAAGTGCAACGGCATACTATAAACAAATTTCCTTATCAACATACCTGTAAAAGTAATAGCAATTTGCTAACTATCCCATCTAAGTAAGGTGTCAATATATCAGGAGTACAGTTTTCACTGAAGTTGAGAACTGCAGAGGCAGCATGAGCCTGCACAGGCAACAAGAGAAGCCAAAAACAAATATACCATCACTAACTGGCTAGTTCCCAAGGAAAAACATCAAGATTAAAACGAAATAAAGATTGATTTGGAATTTTCGTCATCCTCGAAAATAACATGCTCTGAATTGAATAAGGAAACAGTTGCAAACACCATACACACAGTAAAAGCACAAAATAGATCTTAGCATTGGTTGCTTCCTACATACATAGTGACAATTCCCCATTTGAGGTAGAAATCCTTTTTCAGCAACTACTATTTTAACCGTGTTCTATATCTAAAATTGAAACCAATAAGACCAACAAAACATTCCAGAAATGATGAAGAAGAAACTAGAGGAATCTTCATACAAGGAAAGACCATCCCTTTATTTTCCAGCTATCAAAGTACAGAATTATGAAAATTGATTGACATCATAACTAAGGTTTTCCAAAGTCATGTTTGGCATCAAGTATAGATAGGTTATGGCAATCCGTGAGACAACTGAAATTGGAAATATAGGTTTCCCCCTTTTCATGATAGGCATAGGAACAAAGGGTCCTAATTCAAAGCATCGCCAGAAGATTATCATGATGACTACATGACTATTCAAAAACCAACCTGGAAATATTCCAGAAGTTAATGGCTATAACTAACCTGTACTCGAGGGTTCTGGAAATCATCCATTGCTGCAGCAAGTGCGGGAAGCACCTGCTGATGGTATTTTACTTGCAGATCTGGACCCAGGTCTGTAGATAACTGCCCAATTGCATTAATAGCCGCCCACCTAACACGAGGATATGGATCTTGAAATGAGTTTAAAACCATTGCCACCACTTGTTCCAAGTTTTTTATCATAACCTGCAAAAGAGTAAGAGTGAGGAACATGAACTTCAGAAAAATGAAGTCTGAACTAAGAACTAATGCATCGAATGAATTCATAGATTGTTTGCTCAATTGGCGGGCTAAAATCCAGCCATTCCAACATGTAGTAGGTTCACATCCATGAACGGTGGTGAAAAAAATTAAGAATTGATGCCAAAGTTATACATGCATAGCCTTCACATTAAACCTTTTTATCATGATAAGGTTCGTAAAATTCCATTAGAATCTTAAGCTTGCGGTAACTGTAAGCAACTTGCTGAACGCTCACAAAAATCAAACAAATATGTCAAGAAAATGTGTCTAGGGACCAACAATTCTGTTGTTCAACAACCACCCAATCCAATAATTAAAAACAGTTGAATGCCTCGCTAGCACGAGCTCAACAAAAAGAGATTAAAAGGCAACAAAATGAGTGAACTCAAACATCTCCTTTCTCGTTGAAATGTTCGATTCGGACAAACTACCAAAAACAAGATGCAATTCACGACTAGCTTTTATACCTTTGAACAACCCTCCGCAATTTGGGCCATTGCAATCAGTGCCGCATGGCGATTCTGCCACTCTGGCGCAGCCAAATAACCAGGAAACAGCTCAGAAGCAACAGGAACAATTGTATTGCCACCCAGAGAAATTGCAAGCCTATCCAAACACTCCTGCCCAACACTGTAATTACTGGTCTCGCCTGCATCCTCATCTTCGTTCTCAGCAGCGTGCCATGCCCGATCATCTTCAATATCCAAGAGCAATTTCATCAATATGGCGAACAACCTGGATATAAACTGTGGCATCTTTCTCATCATTCCGGGCGCCCGCTCCCTGGCTTCTGCAAGAGTGATCACAAATTCGATCGCCAAGTGCCTCGTTCCTTCGTCCAGCGATTCAGCTTCAGCAATTTGCAACATCGACCCCACTACATCTACTAATTGCCGTCTCAAAAACCTCGGCTCCGTCCCAGCCAATTCAATCAACAATTCAAGTGCCTCTTGAGCTGTTGCCTCCTGCCCGTTATTCAACGCCTCCATTAGTGTACTCATCATCGGTGGCAGCAAATCCTGAAACCTGTCACGATCAGCAGAGTTCGACAAGCACTGTATGAAGCTGATAACAGCATTGAGGGCCGCAATCTTCACATCAGTACTCGAGGAGGTAGACGTCAAGCACTGCAAAAACACACCGTGCAAGTGCTTAATGTGAGGCACCAAGGTATCCCCAATATAATGCGAAAGCTGCGCAAATATCAAGAAAGCCGATTCTTGCAGCTTGGGGGAATCTGACGACACACACTGAAACATAAACGGCAACAATTCCGGCCATCCGTTATCCGGCAAGATTCCCGAAGCGAGCTCCGAGACCGTATCACATAACTTCTTCGATATCGATTTCGCCTCCTCCCGTTGAATACACGATAAGAGTATGGATTTAAGCGTAGACTGAGTGGACGGATTAAGGCGAGGCCAGAGATATGAATCATCGCGAGTTAGCTGCTTCCGGAGCAAAACAGCAGACATGGCACGCGTCTCAACTTGAGGAGAGAACTGAAGGAGATGTGCGAGCTTCACAGATAGAGAATCAGGATCTGTCTGCTTACACAAATTGAAGACAAGCTCTGCCTGCGATCGTTGCTCGTTGGAGGAGGACATAAGGTGTGAAAGAAGCGTTTCAAAAGGAGCAAGGTCAGGGCCAAGAATAGCAGCAAGCTGCGCTTGCTGAAGCTGGGTGGACTGGGAATCCATTGAAGATCAAAAAGTGAAAGATATGGGTAGGGTTTGAATTGAAAACAAGAACTCCCAGTGAATTATGGAAGAAATTGGATTGAATTGAACTGAATTTGTATCACAGTTGAACGTTCAAAGCTGAAACAAAGAAAAGGAGATGAACAGAGATCGAGATTCTCAAAGAACGCAGGCTATGGCCTCCCCTCGCCGCGAACACACACCGTAAGCTGTGCAGCGCAGAGGCAGAGGCAGAAGCTGAGGCTGGAAGATGATGATTTGTTTTGATTTGATTAGGGCAAAAGCCAAAAGCTAGCTAAGCACAGCTTACACTCTGCATTTCTTTTTTATATTTATATTTATATTTATATTTATTTTATTTTTCCTTAACCATCATTACTATTGCATTTATTTTTATGCTTAAATCATTTATTTAATACATAAAATAAACCAAACAAGCCTTTAATTAATTCCTCCCAATTTCCATGCCAGCTCAGCTTCAGTCAGACTGTTCCTTTTTTTTCTTTAATTAAATTTTAACTATAAATTTAATGCTATTTAAGGAATTTTAATTATTCTTCTATTTTTCTGATCAATATAAATATTTTATACTTTATTAAATAAATACAATTCAATTAACATATTATCATATGAATAACACTCTTATTCATAAATATATATATACTAAATATACGTCGAATTTTGAGATGGTAAATTAACAACTAATCTAATATGATTAAGTCATTAATTTTAATTTAAATATCAAATATTTAAATTTTCACGTCTATATAACTAGAAAAATAATTAATTAGTAGTCTTTGATTATAATTTAATATTTGATTAGTTAATGATGTTTAGATAAATTTTAAAATTAGATTTTAGCTAATTTTTATGGAAACTAGTTTAATAAAAATAAATTTTATGCAACAACATTTTTAAAAAATATATATATATATAATTAAAAATCGAGAATTAATAAAAAGTGACGGATCCGCAGCATATTTCGTTGGCGGGATAATTTGAACATAAATTTTTAAAGATAAAATTAAAAAAAAAATAAAAAAGCGTGACGGCAAAAATAAAGCGGAAAGTTGGGTTAATCAACAAAGGTGAAAAGTTGTATTTTTTGGAGGGAAAAGTTAAAAGTTGCTGGATCGCTCGATCGAAATTTACCCGACTTTAACTTCTGTGGCTTTCCTTTCCAGTAAAAGTCTGGTTAATTTATTTTTTACAACCGTTAAAAAAAAAAAATAATAAATTCCTCTAAATCCTTTTATGAAAAAATAGCTATTTAATTTTTAATTTTTAGTTTATAACTAAATTTTACCTTTTCGAAATTTTACTATGGGTAAGTATGTAAGTGAGGATAAAATATGTTGGATAAAAGTTCAGCTAATTTAGGGAATGATCCTGTATTTATAATAAATTATTCGTGTGAGGCATTTTGGAAAGTCCAAATCAAAGCTACTAAAGAAAAAGAATCTTTAAGGGGAGACGTACTTTGTTCGAGGGGAGATATTGGATAAAAGTCCCACATCGACTAATTTAGGGAATGATCATGGATTTATAATCAAATAATACTATCTCCATTGGTACGAGGCTGGTTGGGAAGCATCGATTAAGTTAAAGGGTATTATTGGAATTTTAGGATTTTTTTTTTTTTTTTTTGAATACATATATTTTTTTATTAATTTAGTTTTTTCTTTAAAAAAAAGAAAACAGAAAATGGAACAAAAGGCGGGAGCTATGTTTATGGGGATGAGAGTCGGGTGGTTGATAAATTAGCAACACGACGCCTTATATAAATATCGTTCTTCTTCAGCGAGCAGTCGTGGTTCCTCTGTAGAATCATGGCCGGCGCTCTTTCTTCCTCTCTGCCCTTCTCCAAACTTCCTCCATCAATTTCCTCTTCTAAAGTGACCGCCGGCGTCCTGCCATCTTCACTCACTTTCACTCATTCATTTTCTCCACAACTCGGATTGCCCCGCAGAGCCCCTGCATTTTATCCGATTAAGTCTAATGGGTCTCTTTTGTCTTCTCAATTTGGCGACCAATTCGAAGATCAAGGCCTGCAAATCTCATCGGAAAATACCCGCTCCCAACTCCAAGTCCGAAGCTGGTAGCCGTTTTTGTGTCCTTAATAATGATTGATTCTGTCGTTTCAACGTTTAATTGATCCACTTTTCCTGTCTTGCAGCATTTGGAATTGGAGGGGTTACTCTATTCGCTACCAGTGTTCAGGAGATCATGGCCCTGCATTGATATTGATTCATGGTTTTGGAGCAAACAGGTATTCACCATTCAAAATTTGCTTCTCGTACTACTTACTATAGGCATTACCGATGCAAATTGCCGATACTAGAAAATGTCATTAGGTATCTATTCAGTTATTCTTTCATAATTGCGTATTTTATTATTGTCCTGGATGAGGAGCTTAGGCCTTTGCCTCAATTAGGAAGATTATTAGACTGTAGAGAATACTTACACAAGGTTCTTTATGAGTATGGATTCAAATTATTTTGCTGTTACTGATTTTTGTTGAGAAACTTCTGACTGGCTCCACGTCCATCTGCAAGACCTTTGCATATAGAATACTAAAGGAGAATTGAGAAGAACCCCTAATTAAGGGGATGATCATGAGTTTATAAGTAAGGAATACATCTCCATTGATATGAGGCCTTTTGGGGAAATTAAAAGCATAGCCATGAGAGCTTATGTTCAAAGTGTACGATATCATATCATTGTGGAGAGTCGTGGTTCCTAACAAGTCTTCTGCCCTAACCAATGATAGATTTGCCTGAGCACCTACCTAGTTGAGCCATTGATTTCCTGTTTGTGATGGTTAGACAGTGTTGACGTGGGGTGAGTTAGGTCGAGCAATTTGCCAGCTAAAAGTCGGCAATTATACTTACCCCTTTGTACTAGAATAAGAACCAAGTCATCGTCCTTGCATCTTGTTCCACATGCGAAGTTCAGTGCTTGATGGTTTGTCTTCCTTTTCAGTGACCACTGGAGGAAAAATATACCTGCCCTTGCTGAATCACATAGAGTTTACGCTGTTGATCTTATTGGTTATGGATACTCAGACAAGCCAAACCCAGATCTAGTTGGGGAAAGCTTTTATACATTTGAGACATGGGCTTCCCAGCTGAATGATTTTTGTGTTGACGTGGTTCAGGATGAAGCATTTTTTATTTGTAACTCGATAGGAGGTGACCATCTCATTTTTGAAGTAAATACTTTTTCTTTATTTTTGCCATCCGTATCTTGTTATGGTCCTTAACTTATAGTTGATAAAATCAAGTTTGGACTTGCACATTTTTATCTATTTTCAAAAAGTGTTCCCTCTATTTCACGTCTATCTTGTACATGATAAAACCAGCCGTAGTCTTTCTATTTGATTGTTGTGGTTGTGTGTTTCGAGATTGAATTGTCGCTATTTCGGCTACCTGATTATGTCGAAATCCCCAGTTTTCCTCTTCTCGTGTTCACACAGGAAATCTCATGAAAAAAATAGATCATATGATTGCATAACTAGTATCAAATCTTCGAGTAATAAGTGTGTAATCGTTTTCTCTTCATCGTTATTCTTCTCTTTTTTACTGAATGGGATATAATTTTCTTTGTTATGAAGACAACCTTTCAGTTTTCGGCATATTTCTCAACATTATTGAATGCATGTTCTTGTAGGCGTAGTTGGTCTGCAGGCAGCAGTTATGAAACCGCAGATCTGTAAAGGTATTGTTCTTCTAAACATATCTTTACGCATGCTTCATATCAAGAAGCAGCCTTGGTATGGGAAGCCATTGATCAAATCATTTCAGAGTTTGCTGAGGTAAAAGACATCCCATATATCAATTATTGAATTTAGACTGAAGTTGTCATCCAAGGTCTCGACTGTTGCAGGAATACTGCTCTAGGAAAATATTTTTTTAAAACTGTTGCAACCCCTGAGGCTGTGAAGAATATTCTTTGCCAGGTATCTTTGTTTTTGCTTTGTTATTATTATTATTTTTTATTTATGGGATGCAATAAGAACCAGAATAAGAACACCGGTAAATAAATTCATTTGAAAATTCAACAAAGTTACTGATTTTCTTGGCCTGTAGATGTAGGGGAATTTAAAACAAAATCTGTTATGGTTCTAAGTTTTTAGATATTACTAGCTACACCGGAAAACTAAAAATAAAAGGATCAAGTGATTATATGAACGAGGTTCCTAAAGATTCAACATTTCTTTTATGGTGTTGTGATTGCCTTTTACACGTTTCCTGCAGTGTTACCATGACACCTCCCAAGTTACAGATGAACTAGTGCAAATTATCCTAAATCCCGGATTACAGCCGGGTGCTGCCGATGTCTTTCTGGAGTTCATTTGTTACTCAGGCGGGCCCCTTCCCGAAGAACTTTTGCCTAACGTGAAGGTTGCCTTCCTCTGAAGTTGGTACTTTTTGGAACTCCAATTTTCTCTATGCCATTGTTGCCTTTTCTCATTTTTCTCTTCTTCAGTGTCCTGTATTGATCGGATGGGGTGACAAAGATCCGTGGGAGCCGATTGAGCTTGGAAGAAATTACAAAAATTTCGAATCTGTGGAAGACTTTGTTGTCATTCCCAATGTTGGACACTGTCCTCAGGTCTGTCTCGCACTCTCTTCATGCCAAGTGTTCTGACATGTTTGGTTGTGGTTAATTAGTTGTGAGCTTGTGATTGTCTTTTTAAATGGCTAGCCGATTTAGTTTTTGTGCAATTAATTTTTCGAGAAACTTGCTGACTTCAATGTTTGCTTGCATTATTGAAGGACGAAGCACCTCATTTAGTAAATCCGCTCGTCGAGTCGTTTGTGACTCGTCACGCTACAAGCTCTGCACGTAATTCCTCAGCTGTATCTTCATAACCCGGAGTTCCAAACCTTGGCTTTGGAAGTATGTTCTTTGATCATCTTGAAATTCCTAGTGAACACCTTCTATGATTTACGCCTCCTCAGAACTGTCACTTGCCTTGCATAGGAGAGCTGAGTCCTGGATTTTGGCTGTAAAGTTGTCACACAATCAATCTGTACATCAGTGCAAGGATATCCCTTGATCCCTCTCCCTTCATTCACACACACACATACTCAAACAACACCATATACCTTATTGTGTACAAGTTAATGTACCAACTTTTTCCATTGAACCAATAATATAGCGTTCTCATCGAAGCGCCTATAGGCTATAGCCAACGAAAGGCTACTTCTGAATGTTCACTGATAATCTTGATGAATGCCACATTACTCTTAAGGTTAGAAGTTGTGTATAAAGAAAATGGAGTTTTTCATCATGCCTGGCTCAACTCCAAATAGCCCATTTCAATTTAAACAATTGAAAGTCAATGTTTTCTCTCGTTTCTCTTTAATCAAGTGTGGCATATTACAGATTCAGCTACATGCATTTCTTATTAGAAACCATGATCGAGGTGTAATATAAGCAAAGATTGATTTCAATGTTCATTTTTTTTTTTAAAAAAAAACAGGAAACAGTTCTGTTGATCCGATGAAAAAGGTACATAGTTTAGTATACCACATCTCAAAATACAACATTGTTGATTTTCAATCCACTGCTCTGGCCTCTACATTTCCCATAATTTAAGAGTCCATCATTGCCTTAAACACAAACCTTTTTTAGCTCCCCTTTGATTTTAGTTTTTGCATTCGCATGGTAGAGCAACAATCTCTTTTCGTTATTTCAACGAAAAGTTATATTTCTTGTCACAAAGGTCAAGAAGTAAATAACGAACGTTTTTACTCGAGTTTGCAGTCTACAACTAGCACTAATAGCCCTCACTTGAAAAGTAAAATCACCAGTAACCCATGATCTTTGTAGTTCTATTTATTTATCTGCTGCAAATAAACTTAGAAAATGAGAAAGTGCATTACCTCATAAACTGATAGTATTTTCACATTACATTCATTATCATGAATTTATTGGCATGACTTGTGTTTTGGGAGGAAAAGTTTGTGGTCAGCTCACTTTGCTTCTCCATCCTTGATCCATTTCAGGTAACTTTCCACAGAGTCCAGCCCACAGAGCTCTTTAACAACAGGCATGGTAGCTGGAACCTCTAGCTGTAACGCATAACCAGACTCATCTCGACGTTTCCATGTACATATCTGTTTTCGTGCCTCTTTAATAGCAGCTCGTGTTGCACAGTGGACTGATGCAGCTAGAAGCAATGGTGATTCTCCTGAAGCTGCACAAATGCATTTCATTTAATTAAATCCCACTTCAAATAAACCCTTCTACAGCATCAATATACACAGATTTCTCACCCTCACTACAATTGCTACCACTTACCTCAAGATCAATAAATTATGAACCAGTTTGGAATGACTCTATAAGGGCAAACACTTCTGTAAATATTTAGAAAGTCATTCCAAACAGATCCTACACATGCGTTATACATGCGTTTTTACTATTTGGACATGTCTTAGACAACAGTTTTTACTACTGATCTTGTTAAATGCTATCGTTTTTCCTTTATTACTTCTGCGTTAAGCCTGCATATGATGGTGGAACCTATAATTCCAATGCATATTGTAGTGTTTGCATGATGCCTTAGCTGAAAAGCTAAAAACCGTATAAAAGAAAAAGTCTACTAACGTCTACAACAGAGCAAATGAAAGTATAGTCAATTGGACTCTGCAGAGGAATCAAGAAAAATATATAGAGTTTTTTCTTCTAAGAGCAAGGGAATTACATTCTCTTCCAACCTATAATCAAAAGCCAATGAAGTTTAAACTTACCTTTTGAAGAGAGGATGTGGTTTTTATGACGTCCAGAGTTCAAAATTTCAACATTGAACTGTTTTGGAATGGTGTCAATCGTAGGAATTTTGTAAGTCCATGTGCTGTCAGTAATAACTAGTCCATCAGGATTTGTGAGGTATTCCTCTGACATAAAAAATCCAATTCCTTGAACAAAGGCTCCTTCAATCTGCACAGAATGATTCTTGATCATTAGAAGATTCTGCCCCTTGGATATCCGATCAATCTACCCCCACTTACAAATAGGTATATGAAACTTAAAAGCCTCCAAACTCAAAACTTTAGAGATTGAAAAACAAATTAGGAACTTAATTTTGTGCTTAGTGTAGCTATTAACCTGTCCCAAATCTACAGCAGGATTGAGGCTTCGTCCACAATCATGGATAATATCTGAACGCAAAATTGTGGTTTCTCCCGTGAGAAGATCAAGCTCCACCTGTCAAGGCATGAATTTGAAGAATTGAACTTTGCAGTAAAATAAAGTGGCATTGAAGTAGCAGCCAACTGCTTCTTTTTAACTTGAAAATGTTGATACAATGGTAAACACAAAAGGAGATGTTAATGGACGTGCCTCACTCACTGCAGCTGCATAGTTTAAGTAGCTCCTTGAAACAAAGTCAGGAACATACAAAGAATTAACTGATAAATTCACTGCTTGCAAGTTTGCCTGCAGTTTTTCCAACAAGAAATGTCAACGGTGTTATGGACCCAAGGATATGTCCTAAATCACATGTCCAACAATATTCTTATGTGGTAAGAAAACTGCTCACTTAAGGAACAAACAATGCATAATTACAAATCAACTATCAGACTAAAGAAGGGGCATATGGCTGCCACTTAGTTTCATGAATAGAATATACAATGTATAAAACCGAAACACGAAGACCTTCAACATGTGTTCAACTCAACAACAGGTCTCATGAAAATGTGGAGTTCGAAAAGTTCAAGAGTCAGTAGTTCCATAAAGCATAAAAAATAGGAAAACAAATCACTATGTCCACGGAGAATTCATAAAAAATATCACAAAAACTTTGTGCACTACATCTAAAAAACTTTCTGCACTACATCTAGGAGCTTCAAATAATTGTTTAGAAGTTAGGAATTTTTTTAAAGAAACTAATTTCATGTGAACATCTAATAATAAGACTTTCAGAAAAAAGCATGTGAATCAATAACACTTGATCATGGATGTTACTCCCACAATTAGAAAGATAATATCTCCAAACTATAGGAAGAAAAGACATCATAAAAAGAAAACATGATTGCTTTATCATAAAATGTTCTATGAGATGATGCAGAGAAGACAACAACCTGACTTATAAGAACATCCCATTTAACCGAACCACTCTCCTCCAGCCTTTTCTTGAGAGGTGTTAGTCTCTCCACCAATATATTGCAGCAAAGTCTAACTGCCTCACAGCTTGATTCGGAGGTAGTACTCGCATATGTACCCCCTCCTTGTATTAAAGCAATGGTATCAGATTGAACCACTCTCACCTTTTCCAACAGGTCACTGGTTCCATCACATTTAATTGAGCTAAGGGCATACGTAACCATCTGTCTAACCTTCGTCCACAGCCCCTGACCAATTTCAATACCCCCAACTTCCACAACAACAGAACCATCAGTTAGAATGCTCACTTTCCCTGGGGTTGGTCTCAATGTCATCTCTTGCACGATAGGAATTCGAGAAAGACCTCTTTTTTTCCAAATGTTGCTGCCATTAAATTTATCTACCATTTCTGTTCTTTGTTTCAGGCATGAAGATGTGGCTAACCTATCCCAAATTGAAGGTAAGGTGTAATCTTGAGGTTCACCTGCACTCTTGTAGAATTTTTTGAGGCTGTTAAACGTATGCAGATTTACTTTTCGGATAGTATCGACATCCATGCAAAGAGTAGATGCTACATGTTCAATTATTGCTTCAGCAATAAAGGATCCTTGTACATCTCCAGGGGCTCGCATCATAGATCTGCTTGGATAGTTTGTCTTGCATACTTTTATATCAAAAGACAAAGCACCCCAATCATACTTCTTAAGTCCATTGACAATGAAGCTTGGCATAATTGGACTTATATCAGTATTCATCCCTGCATCAACCAATATATCTAATTGACATCCTGTAATTTTACCGTTAGATTTGAAACCCACACTGTAAGTTACTTTCATTGGATGTCTCCCTCCTGCCATTATCATGTCAGTCTTTCGATTAAGGTAAATCCTGACTGGACGACGTAACTTGTGAGCTGCAAGTGCACATGCGGAAGCAACCTAAACAACATAATCGTTAAAAGGCAAAAACTCATATGTTAGAGTGTCATTCATGCTTGGGAAAATATTGAGAACATTGGCAAGAAAAAGAGAAGTGAGAAGGTTGAAAGAAAACTATAGGGAAACAAATAGAAGTGAAAGTGTTGAACATAAATAAATAATGAAGAATATAACGATGTTAAAAATCATGAGAAGTTTGAGCTCTGATACACAACTATCTTATTATTTGATTCAATGTATCATCCTCCTACTAACTAAGAATATAATCGAATTGAAAACATAATAAAGCTTTCAACAAAATTCACTGTTTTGAAACTGGCATGCAAGGACTACTTGGGAGTAAAATCATAATTGCATATATATACTTGATTTCTGTTCCCCTCATATTGAGAAAACACTATTACTAGTAAGTCAACGCAGAAAAATTCCAATGGAAGTGGAAAATCTTGTTTTACTTGGAAGTTCAAAGAAATGCACTAGTGAAGAACCGTTTCTCAATAGTTAATTGCACAGAGTTGGAAGCAGGTACTCACAACCATAGACTTCATGGCCTTTCCACCAAAGCCTCCTCCAACTCTTCTCGTAATTACACGGACATTATGCTCAGGAACACCGAGGCATTTTGCAATAACAGAATGCGCATTAGCTGGCCATTGGCTTGAACTGTAGACTACCATGCAGTTATCTTCATCTGGAATGGCAAGTGCAGACTGGGTCTCCATATAAAAATAATATTGTGATCCAAGTCTGATCTGGATGTAAATATTTATGAAAACGATAAGGAGAAATGACCTATCTTTAGGATAGATAATAACTAATAACATCTGTAGCAGAATAGTTAGAAACTATTTTTTTTTTTTGGTGTGAGAAACGGTTAAGTAGGCCTTGGTTGAATCTCTAACCACTACCATGATTATATTTGGTCAAGCAATTCATTGTCGAAGGTACCTGAGCTGCGTTAATATGATTGTCTGCTTCAGCCATTCCTTTTGATATATCACCAACCTGTTCTGGAATAAAAGATGAAGGAATGTCAAAGAAGCTTGACCTCTTAACAGCATCTTCTACAGAAAGAATAGGCGCCTCCAAATTATCTGTGTCATAATCCACTACTACATTTTCTGCAGCCACATCCGCATGTTTCTGAGTATCTGCAACCTAAAAAAAATGTGGATAGGT